TTGATGGCTGACATTTTTTAGGCAAGGAGTCAAAATGCTCAGATGTAAATGTTTGATGATAAGTTGGATGTTCAAGCAGCCGTTAACATCCTTATCATTCACTAACACGTATGGAGAAAGACACTTATGCTATCTTACCGTCAAGAAAGAGAAGATACAATACTCTGCATATATATATATATTCCACTGTAAACTGGTAACGCGATCGCTATTGACAACACGTACAGCAAATAATACAGCCTGTACAGACCTATGTATTTGTCCACTCTTGTGGGATGCTCTATTATTTATGGGAATCCTAAGGTGGAGGCAGATGCAGGTGGTGCTGCCATAGCAATACAGGAAACACAAACATAGCGTAGCCATGGTGTGTTTTTTTTTTTTTACATTGCAAGGATTTTTAAGAGAGAGAATTTCCTCAACAAGGTAGAGAATTTTAATGACTTGTTGTGAGGCTCATTATGCATGGCAGGGAACTGATAATCGTGTAAGATATATTCATCTGTATAATAACTTTATTGAGATTAATTTTTCTGAATGAAACACAGCAGTGCTAATGATGTAAAGTAAATGAATTGTGCAAATTAATATTAGTGAGTACTAAGACGAATCTAATGTAGATATGGCTTTATATTAATTTTTTTTATTATAAGTAGAAATTTACCAATTCGGAATTAGATGTGAATATTCATTTAAAAAAAAACAACATGTTTTGCTTGTTGATGATGATGAGAGTAATTCATGTGAAGAGAATTCATTCTGAGCTTAAAATCACAGAATGAAAAGAACCAGCCTTCAGACCCTTCTTTTTCCACCTATGTGATCAGCTTTATGAAATACACATACATGCATAATTTGGGGTCTTTATACTCAGTATTACTTCTTTTTGCAAGCTTTTCTGAATTAACTGTTTTCTATTTTCACCTGATAGTGATTTCACTAAATTATTTAAATTTGTTTACATTACTATAATATAATTTTTTTTATTTACCCATTTTTTTCACTTTCACTTTATTTTCACTCACTTTGTCAATGGCAACTCAATTTATATTGCAAGAAATTGCCCATTCACAAGATACATTTAACATCATTTTTCCAATTAAAATTGAGATTGTCTCAGAAATAACCTTACCATATTTTCTCTATTAGAAGTGCATCTCCAATAGAAGCACATATATGTATACACTCAAAATTGCATTTGAAGTACCTATGCACTGAATCATTAAAATATGAGTTTATATTGAACATAGAAACACATCTGTAATTTTCATATTTTCAAGCACATGTGCTACTACAGGTAATATAGCAAATGTATAGTATACCTTAGTTACTATATTGAAAGCACAAACATATGACACCAAATTTATTACATAACAGCCTAAAATGATTTGTTAACATTTATTATGGTGTAATAAATGAAATTATAATTATTATACATAATGTATTTCAATTGAAAGTGCATATGAACCAAAAATCTGGTGGCTATATTGAAAATCATAAGAATATTCCTTAATTTTAACATTGTATCTCTGTAATTTATCTAAGTGTATGCACTACTAATAGAGCAAATATGGTTCATAATAATGAATAATGTTTTACTTTTAGGTATTATCTATACCCATTGGCACCATAAATATCACAACTACAAGATCAATATTACGGGGTTTAACACATGATCAAATATGTTAGTTCAAATTCTTGTATGGCTTACAGTGCATTTAATAATAAGGCAATTTCAGCATCAAACTTAACATACCACAAGTAATATATACTCGGCCCTGATAGGTCAGTTACTGGGTCAGGTTTTGCCACGAAAAATGCCCTAAAGGTGATCATCACAAAAGAACATAGTGACCCACTAAGCTATACGTCGACCAGACCCGACAGTCAAGCCATGTTTGTTTTACAAATATAACAAAAGCTTATTGTTCAAACTATTCAGGTCTTTGACATCGGATTTGTGGACACTGTTAATGTCATGCAGGACAAATGATAAAATAGAAAGGTGGGTGTGAGACATGTAAAGGGTTGAAGGAAACCATAGTGATGTTTGTTACAGCTATACCAGTCTGTTTTCTGACAAAAAGAATGCTCTTTTTTTCATACACCATTTTTAAATGGATAAATTGCTGGAGGTGGGTCTTTGTTATGAAAAGAATCAAACTGAAGTCATCAAGGTTAAATTTTCACAAAAAGAAAAAAGAAATTTATCACTTGACATTAATAGTTATAGACATCAGCAACAACATGTCATTCATTATATATCCATAATTTATTCACAACAGGCATACATGTGTCATTCTTCATTAATGCATTATCACGATGGTGATGAATTAAATTTATGTAAATTAACAAAAGATTATAACAGATTAATACAAATTATTAATCACTATTACTGATCATTAAACATCTGTCAGAGTATCTCCACAAATTACACAGCATCGTAATTTTCATATCAGTTCTGCATCCAACCTTATTAGGAAATGTGAACTCCAAATAAATAATAATATAGCTAAAAAGAGATGGATAGTGAACTTCCTGTCATGATAACTGTTATTGTGACTTCTGCCCAATATTTGCTCTCAGGGGATTACTGGAACTGAATATTTACATTAGAAGTTTTGCATTTATAAACAATAGGTCTAAAATAGAAATGAAAGTTAATAACGATTGTGCAATAAAATTCCAACTGACTTGCTCTTTAAAAGACCAGAAAAGAATAAGATAAGAAAACAAACATGTATGTTTATCAG